GTATCTAATACCGCAGTTCAAAATATATGAACTTCATATATTTCATTGTATCTGATTTATCACTTTCACGGGTTTATTACGAATCAACTTAACGGCCTGCTCCCAGTTGGCTTGTTAGCTCAATTGGTAGAGCGCTGCACTAGTATCGCAGAGGTCAGTGGTTCGAATCCCGTACAGGCCTGATTTTTTTTCAGGTCTGATTTTCGCTATTGCTTAAATAGCGCTATCTACTGCGAGGATCGTGCACCATATGTATCTAATACCGCAGTTCAAAATATATGAACTTCATATATTTCATTGTATCTGAATCCTTATCTTGTTTTTACTTCAGGGCGCTTTTCGTTACAGATGAATTCAAATGCCCCTTAAGGAGTTTCACTTGTCCAACGCTTATAACATTCCTTTTGGCATTTTTATACTTAAAGCAGAGCAAGCCCAATTTGAACAATCGACAATCAGTTTCATCATACCGTGTGAGTGAAGGACAAATTACTTACTGGAAGACGAACTAGTAGTGCTCACAAAGCGAATATTAGGGAATTCTTCGTTTTCGCGGTGCTTCTAGTCAAAATGTTTACATCACTGAGGTCTCCGACAAACATGGCACCATTTGACTCTACGGGGAATTAAACCGTAAAACTGAGTGCGTTTTTCTTAATTAAGAGTCTCAGACCGTAAATATCGAGAATCTCCTGACAGTTACAAAATTTCGTAATTCATTTTATTTTTTCTAGAGGACCCTTTTAAAAACCTCTTTCGAAAATGATATCAAAAAGTTATCTTGCACTTCTTTTTTTCTGCAAAATCGAAAAATCCAAAATACGCCTAGATGGCCGTTTCCCCACCCCCCTCCTCCCAAAAGCAATGAAAAATTATGCAACTTCGGCAACTTCGTACGCCACAACGCGACGCAATCCCGCTTTTTAATTTTGTGTGCTAGCAGATGCTCCTTTTGTCTCTTGTAAAATATTAATTTCTTGTTATGTTGTTATGTTTAAGTCTGAATAGTAACCCGTTGAAATTATCTCCGAGCACGTCCAACTTTTGTAACTAAGTCTAGTTACCAGGCCTTATTGTTATCATACTCCTGTACTTCCTGTTCCTGTTTCACCTTCTGGTACCTCGTTCTTTCTCCTCGCACCTCTCTCCCCTCTATAGCAAATCTTGTTTGGGCCTCTTTGACTTTGCTTGGGGGCTGTCCTCGAGCCCTCAGAGGCTCCTTGTGTCCTCATCAAAGATGCCCAAACAGATTCATTGTCTCGTTTGCTGGTAGTGTCGTGTGAGTTAGGTGTGGCGGGGATAATTGAAACCTCGTCGCTGTACATAAGATCAAAGAAACATTAACTCTGAACACGCCGACATATGCTGGGATGTGTATTCTGGATCTTAGCAAGACATTAATGTATGATTTTCATTACAGTTATATTAAAGACAAGTATCCTAACAAAGAAAAATTATTATTCACAGACGCCGACAGTTTGACTTACGAAATCGAAACAAAAGATGTCTACAAAGATTTCTGGCAGAATAAAGACATTTGACAACAGTGATTATCCAGAAGATTCAAATTACTTTGATGCAACCAATAAGAGAGTCATTGGTAAATTCAAAGATGAAGCGTCTGGTGTGCCAATTGTTTAATTCGTCGTTTTGAGATAAAAAATGCACAGTTATATGAAAGAAGATAAACAAGGTGGTAAGACTACAAAAGGAATAAAAAAGATGTGATCACTGATTATAAAAATACCGTGTTCAACAACGAATAGATATATCATAAAACGAATTCCATCAGAAACAACAATCATCAACTTGGAAATTGAACTAGAAAAAGTGTCATTGTCCTGCTTTAATGACAAGCGTTACATACATGAAAGTGGTGTTGAAAGCCTTGCATATGGACAAACAATTTAAATACTAACGTTCCATGTCCGATATATCGGACACTAACTTTGAAGAATCTTTATTTTTTAAAAAAGTCCCTCGCATCATCAACTTCCATTGACGTAAATTTCTAAGAAACTGTTTTTCCAGTGCGTTGGTAGAATGTCAATAAACTTTATCTTTTGTTTAAAATTCTTCATCTTTTACAAACCAAACAATCAATTCAAAAATATTCCAAACATGAACGAAAAATAAGCCAAACATAAACCAAGCATGAACCAAACATAATTTCTAAGAACCCATAAATCTTGTCATTTCTTTGAATCTCATCATTGACCAGAATCTAGACATCAATATGAAAAACTTCAATACAAAATTATCATAATATTGCGCAAAAATATAGCGAAAAATGTGACGCAAAAAAATATTAAGCGCAAAATTTGAGCAATGCAAGTACTTCACTACTAAACCAAGTCATGACCATTTTCTTGGTCCAAATTGAATCGAATTGATTTCGGTGCACGGTGTTCGAGGAGGTGGGATTCGTAAAAGTTCACAGCCACATACGCCCAAACGTACGCCAGGGTCATCCTCGGTGTAAAAACCTGACGAGGTTTTCTTTGTTTCATGAAGTATTGTTTTGCTGTACGCTATTGTTTATAATGTTCTGTTGTCTTTGTTTTGCGTCACTCGTGAGCTTCACAGGTTTTTACACCAAGGATGAGCCGCGTACGCCGATGTTTATCATCAGCCGCAATTCATTTTCTCCCAGCATTCATCGCACGCTCATAGAGTAATGAACATTTGAACCAGCATTCCTTGTGGACCTACATTTTACTTCCGTGAAATATAGGGAAAGTGATAGGAGTCAGTTTGACCGTCTTCGCCAGCGCAAAATAGTTCAGTTTAGTTGGCGATATGGCTGCAGCTAATCAAAAACAATGGATTAAAGGTCGGGCTAAGGTAAACGGGGCAGAGGAAAACATTTTGCTTGGAAGTCATAGCTTGGACAACCATGATTTGAAAGGGAACTATTCTTACATATCCGACTACGACTGTATCTTTGATAATCCCCCAGATTTAGACGGATATGATGAACAACAAAGGCAAGACCTACACGACGCGAAGCAAAGAGGGACAAATATAACTATCAACAATCTAGCCCACTTCACGAAAAGGGCTGATCTTATTATAAATTCTGAAGGCTTCATTGGAGGATGGAAGAAAATTAATGAAGACGAAAATGGACATGAAATTGAAGAAACCTTGTCGTGGTGGAGTCCTATATTTACGGAGGAGGATAAAAAGCTGGTACGTGATACTCTTGATGATGCTATAAGGCCTTTCTGTAGTGACATTGATGTGTTGGAAGATTTGAAGAATCAGTTTGCTACCTCTCATGCCTTTGAACCAAATGCAGCTCGTTATGGCAGTACCTATTTCGAGTATAACATTAACGAACTGTGTGAACAGTATGGAAACTATCGTGCCATTGGGGAGGAAACCAAAATTCAGTACAAGATATTAGGAACATACGTTTACAAATGCGAGATCATGTACGCTGTTCTTGTTTGTACAAATCGCGATGAGCAATTTGCGGGTTACCCTAAAGTCAGGGTAATGGCTGAAGCTGATGGAAATGATGATGGCAACAACCAGGTGGTAATAAGACGACATGATGGTGGCAACTGGAGTTGGATATGGAAACCTCAAGCAACTGCAACAGTAATTAAACGCTTAGATAGATTTGATATAAGTCCCATGTACCGTAGATGGGAACATGTAGCTTTTGCGTTTTACACACCCGATGGGCAAGTATTCAATCTTCCTGACCTACAAAATCATCGCCATGAGTTGTGAGTTGTGCGACGAAACTGATGTAACCTTTTTAGTACAGCATGCTTATCATGATTTAATTTAGTTAGAGTGAGCTGCGATTCGTGCTATCCTTAGAAATACGACAATCTCAGTTCAATTATTTCCATTTATTTGTTGAGCCCAAAGCCTTTAACAAAAGATCGTATCTTCTTTCCAGTCACATGGGTTTCGTTTCAGCTTGGTTTGCTTTAAGCTCGACACGTGGCATTTGCAGGAGTTTTCCGTTTCTGAGACAGGGAACAAGAGTGACAACGATTATTAAAGAGGTTTTCTTTCGTAATCAGCAGAGACTTGCGTCTCTTATTCTAAGCCTCTAAGTAATTTACCCGAAGTATTTCGAGCGGTATTCGTGTCTAGTGGGGAAGCAAAAGTATCTGAATTCATTTGCTTGAGTATTTGAACTAGGTTACAGTTTGATTCTTGCCAATTGATGCAAGTTTTTATCCAGGAAGCTTCTTAATAAGTTTGGATCAATCGCCTTTAATTTTTCTTTTATCCATGATATATGTAACAACATTCGATCGTTCCATTGAGTTTGATGGCTCAAAGACAACGATTGCTATTTCTTGTCTCAGTTGAGGAGCTTTTTATTGTTTTCGCTGAGGTAGGTTGAACAGGATATTGGAGAACACGAGGTATGTTTGAGAGTCATCTTTCGCAAACTTGGAGAGGATCAGACCGAATTGCACAGTTTCAGCCGCTACGCTGACAACGCATGAGAAAGCACAAAGGTTATGAAGCCCTCAACATTTCAGTGACATGTTTTTGAAAGGCTTTTAGAACAAGAATCTAATCACGCTGAACCAGCTGACTGACCAATAGATACGTTCCATAAATCAAAACAGTCACAGTATGTCCTGGGGACTAAAAACAAAATTACAAAAGATTGCCTACGGTCTGGTAACTCCTAGCTGCATTTCTTTTGTCCAATTTCTAAATTAAAAATACTATGCATTATTTTGGGATCCTTGGTGTAAATCTAAATTAAGGTCGTGTTTAGAAAAGAAAAACTCATTAAAGGGAAGAGGTCACTTCGAATCCTTATCTTGTTTTTGACTCAGTAAAAGGCGCCGTTTTGGCTAGAGATGAATTCAATTGCCCCTGAAGGACTGCGGCACCACAGTTTCTTTTTTACCCCCTTTATTAATTTGTCTTTTGATCGCTGCGACCACCAACGTTCATCTTAGTAGGGACCTTAAGCAACTACGACGGCGACGGCAACGAGGACGTGGAAAAACAAGAGATCTAGTTGGCAGAACAATAGCTCAGCACGTGCATTTTGAAACTTTGTACATTTCGTAGCCGTCCTATGCAAAACGACAACGTGAAATCGCCAAAATTTGCGTCCTCTGCCAACCGAAACCGCGACGGCAAATTATTTTAATTTCCATTTGGAACTCAACGCTACTTTTATACGTCATGCTGAAGTTGAGCTGTGGCGCCGTATGAGACAGTAAGCTCATGCAGCCATTTCTGAAATTCTAACTAAGAGTGGAAATTCATTTTTTAATCGAAGTCTTCCTTAGCGTTGTCGTCCTGACTACTTAAGGTCCCTAGTATTTTTCAATCCACAGCATTCTAAACGACGGACCATGCCAGGCCTCAAGCGCAGCACCATAGTTTCTTTAGAAACGTCCCCATTTATTCATTTTCCCCTTCAGGAGTTTCATTCGGGTTAGGACCAGACGAGTGCATTCACTGCTTTAATCATCCCTAAATGTACTGTTTGTCCAACCCTTCTAACATTACCATTGGCATTTTTAAACATAACGCAGAGCAAGCCCAATTTGAACAATTGCCTTGCAGTTTTCGATGTTACACCGTGCGAAGGACAAATTATTCATTAGAAGACGAACTTGTTGTGCTCACAAAGCGAATATTACCTAATTCTTCGTTTTCGAGGCGCTTCTAGTCAATGTTCACATGACTGAGGTCTCCAACAAACATGGCACTGTTTGACTCTACGGTAAATTAAACCGTAAAACTTCGAGTGCGTATTTCTTACCTACATCTCCTGGAGTTAGATTTACACTGTTAATAAGTGATTTGAACAAGCTGTTATCATTATTTCTCTGGAAGAGTTACTGCTGAAATGCTCTCAGTAAGCCAATCAGGAGGCAAAATTTTTTCTTTTTTTCATTTTTAATTCAGTGAATTTCTTATTTTATCATTTCAAGCTCCAAGAGTGTTGTACATTGTAAATCTCCTTACGTTAGTGACACGAGCGGTGATAAATAAAAATAATCCGCTAATAGTTAAGATCCTGACGTACCGGCAAATTCTCCCAGCATAAAAAGAAACGTAAGTAGAGACACAATAAGAAGAATCTCTCTCTCAATCTTGTGCTTAAATGATTTCATGAGATAGGAATATCATTCTACGGTTAGGAGACTTAACATTGCTTCACCTATAATAATCATTACGTCACACTCGTCTGTTCATCTGTTGCCATTAGCTTCAACTCCATAATTTTTCTCTTCACTTCTTGTCATTCAGACCTGTTTGCCGTTTTCACTTCTCTAATTCAATCCGTGTGTTCCTGTAGTCCTCCCGATTAAAACGTCCATGGTTCAACGTCAATTTACTACTAATGGTAGTCATGCCGCTTTTGTTTGAAATCCTGCTCGGTTCCAATTTTTTGTTTCACTCGATAGAAAAATCAAAATCTTCCAGTGTTCATGACAAGAGTGTCAACAGAATGTGGGCGGAATTCATGCAGAAGAGTTCAAGAAAACTCCGCCGAAGGGACGCGTTTTGTCGCGGATTTTGCGAGGTTCTGTATGTTTGGGTAACTAGCACGCACGCAGGTGAATCAGCTTTCTGCCTCAAGAGCTTGTTTCAAAGCTTCTTGTTGAAGCTCACTGAGTTGTCCGGCGCATGCCGTCCACATGTCAGCGGCGCTCTGAAAGAGGAAACAGAAGAATTCTTTAGGAATAAGACAAAGGATAACCAGTGGTGATCTACGCCCTAGGAATTCAACTTTCAATAGGTGAAAGCCTCTCTCACCAGACTAGGCATCGTGATCTCACCAACTCACTTATGTTCGTCAGTTCTCTCACCTGTATTTGTCGTATGATAACTAGAACTCTTTTCCGGGCCGCCTCGTCGTCGCTAAGAACATCATTGATGAACAGTTCGCCAAAAATTTGGAGTATCCGAGGTAAGTTACTGTTATTTGTGCCCAGAACAAGAGGATTATTTCTGTTTGAGTAAAAAAAAACAAAAACAAAAGAGGATCAATAAGAAAATGGTAGAGTACAGCGTTTTTGAGTTTTCCACCATTCCCTTCCCTTCCCCCTCCCCTCCCCTCCCCTCCCGCGCCGATGCTGGTTGGTGACGTCGCATTTTATTCTAATCCTCAGAAGCATGAAAGGTGGGTGGGGAGTGAAGAGTGGGAAACGTTGACTGAATGGTGAGAGCGCTGAGACCGGGTCAATATATATATCTTATTAACCAAGCGCGAGGGCCGTACTGGGAGAATATTGGACCGGCAATAGAGCATTTTGATTGGTTGATTTTAGGTATTGGCCCTCTGACTGCCCGAGTCGTCTAATAAGGCCCCGAATCGAACGTTTCGATTCAGTTCGGTTTGTGTGTATTTTAAGTTTTCATTCTTTCCATGGCTCTTCATTTCTTGGTTCCTCTCTTCATAAAACCAAAGAAAGAGAAAACATCTATTCATCTATTCAAACCACTTACTTTTCGATCAAATCACAAAGGTATCCATACACATGTGGTGCTTCTTCTTTGTCTTCTGTGATCGGCAGTGCCGCGATGAGCGCCGGGATCACTTCATTTAGCGCGATATTTCCACGATTGTATTTACATATTTTTGCCACAGCAGAAATGGCGTTCTCGGTGGCATTCACGTTCTCTCGACTTCTGGATTCCGGCCCGTTAATGACTTGAAAGAGCAGTGGTACAACGTCTGAAAACACGAAAACACGGTTTATTTCAAACCTGATCTCGGCAGGTCGTGAAATATGGAAAAGCGGTTCGGGAACACTCGGGGATATTTGAAGCAGACTGCGTATCCTATCCATTCGCTCCGACGAAGGGCTAACGCTCGAAACGTCAGCTTTTGTAATCATTACGGTGGCCAATTTACCATTTCAACTTTGTTGATATATCCAAATTATTGCGTATCTTATAGTCAGTGACAAAATATCAGACCTGCACAGGCTGTGATATATTCCTCTCCACCATATTGAGCCATCACGCCGCATCCATAACACGCAGCCTATAAAATAAGTAACGAAGGGCGTTAGTTATACGTTAGCCTGTTGCAGAAAACGAAGCGCGATACGGAGGGGCGGCGTGATAAAAGCGGATGAGTTAAAACGAGGAGGGCTCGCGGCCCGACCCAACCTTCCCTCGTTTATGCTATGCCGTTACTGTCGCGTCATTAGGGACCAGGGAATTTAAGCAAACCACGATGGCGACGGCAACGAGAACGTGGAAAAACAACACATACATACATACATACATACATATACTTTATTTAATCTCGAATTTGGAGTAGCTAAAGAATAAGCTAGTATCTTCGAGTTAAAGTATAATTCTAAATGCTACTAAAATGTAAAATGTAAAATGTAAAATTGTAACATTCTAAAATTTAACTATGAGAAAGAGTCATGCTTTAGGGAAAGAGTCATACTGTAAACAATAGATCTAATTAGCAGAACAATAGCCCAGCACGTGCGTTTTAAGACTTTGTACATTTCTTAGCCGTCCTTTGCAAAGCAACAACGTGAAATCACCAAAATTTGCGTCGTCTGCGAAGCGAAACCGCGGCAGCAAATTATTTTCATTTACATTTGGAACTCAACGCTACTTTTTACGCGTTATGTTGAGTGTGAGGTCTGGCGCCCTATGAGAGGGTAAACACATGCAGCCATTTTCGAAATTCTAACTAAAAGTGGAAACTCTTTTTCTTATCGACGTCTTCCGTGGCGTTGCCGTCGTGATTGCTTAAGTTCCCTACTTTTAAACGCACGTGCTGGGCTATTGTTCTGCCAATTAGATCTATTGTTTTTCCACGTTCTCGTTGCCGTCGCCGTCGCCGTCACCGTCGCCGTCGCCGTCGTGGTTTGCTTAAAGTCCCTATTTATTATTTCGCTCTGATTTACTTAGTGAACGATTAGAACAGGCTGGTTCTTAATCCTTTAACTTCCACGAGTGACCAAGAAAGAATTTCTCCTTACAATATCAATAAAATATCAAGCAGACAAGGGATGAGAATAAAGAAAAATATCAATTAGGGGATTATTGGTTGATCCAATACCAAATTCTCCAAACTAACATCATAAGAATTGTATGGCAGACAGTAAGGAGAATTATGAATGCGAGCTTGGGAGTGAAAGGGTTAAGTTTTATAGAACAAGGACATCTGCCGTGAAGTCAAGTTGCCAAACTTATGAAAACAGACGAAAAAATACACCGTACCTGTCTCACATCAGCATTTCTGTCCAACACATAATTCATCATCGGCCGCAAAAAGTATTGTTGGTACTTGAACGACGCCTGGTAGAACAGACAAATAATTAGCTTTCCAATGGACTGATTGGGTAAACTAAGGTATTCCAAACTAGTGATTGTGGAAAATGTTCTCAGTGAAGAGATAGGACAGACTGCACTATGATCGGGACTATAATGAAAAATGTTTCACTGTCTTTGCCCTTCTCTAACGCGATTGATACTTACAGACCCCGTATGTTCTATGACGTCATCGAATATACACAGTGACCACTGCTTGTCTTGGGCGGATCCCTCTGGAGACTGAAAAAATAAGTAAATAAGAAAATAATTAGGCAGCTAAACAAGTAAATATCTATATAAATGTATATAATAGTCGAACAAAGTAGTCAAAGGCACCCTTTAAACTAAACGCAGGGCTCGACGCTAGCCGGGTAGCCCACTAGCCACAGACTAGTAGAAATTCAGTTTTGGGGAGTGTTTTTCGATTTCCACGTGCCAGTTTGGCTAGTTAACAAACTGAAATTGTCGTAACATCTAAGATGTCATAAGCCACTTGGCTGGTAAATTGAAAAGTTAGTGTCGAACCCTGTGAAAGTGAAGTTTTAAAACTTTTCGACCATAAATCAAGTAAACAATCGAAATCAAACTGAATATTAAAATTAAACTGGAAAATAAAGGAAAAATACATTTTTCACTCAAGTATAGGCGACATATCTCGAAATAATATTTGGCCATCATGGCAAAACAGGACCAATAAAGGATAGTTGTTCGTGACCTTTTCTTTCAATCAACTGTCACTAACGGCATCGTGTTATAATCACGTCAATTTGGCGAGACATCAAATCCGCTATTTCATAAATAAATGCCGAGAAGAAAAGAGATTCTTCAAAAGCACTCGAACTCACCAGCAAGGAGTGAAAATCCGGCAAAAGCTGCTCAAAGAAAGGCAAAGCACCGTCTTTGTGCGTGCCAAACAAAGCATGCATTATATCAGAAACCTATGAAAGAAGTACAAAATGATGAATGAAATGACGCGGAAGGCGTGGTGACCAAGTGGTTATGACCATGGAATCCGCAAAGAGAGGTCGTAAGAAAACCTGGATCTGGTTGGCTATCAGCTTGTTGAGATTCAGGTGAGTAATGTTCAAGGTGAAAATTCAGTTTATCACCCTACCTTGCTTAAGATGTGTACATCAGTCTCGTGCTGAAATAGGGATAAAATATATTTAGTTAAAGAAGGACAAAAATATCTACAACTGTTGAAAAGATCTGAAATTGTCAAATTATACCTCGTCTTGCAAATCTTCCTCAACCTCTTCGTCGTAATCTTCTTCTTTTCTTCTTTCTGTGCAAAAGACGACGTTGCACAAACAAATCAACAAAGTATAAAAGGAATTAAGTTGAAAGAAAGATGTTTCACATTTGGTCATGATCGTGGGATTAAAACGGAAATCCGAGTTCCCCCAAAAGTTCCTAATCTCAGCTAGTTCCAATTTTCAATGTCGGATGCTCCAGCAACTGAGCTGTAACAGAAACTTACCGGTTGGCCGCGCCATGTGCAAGGTGCAAAAGAACTGGGTGCGAATGAACTAGTTGTAATAATCACTCCAAAGCGATTCAACTGATACTCACGCTGTCTTTCGATCTGTCTGTTTTTATGAGTGTTAATAATATCGTGAAGTATATTTCCCAGCTCTTTGAAATAGTCAGCGGTCATACACCCTACGCCTAACGCCTCTATACACCGCGCCAGAGCATCCATGATCAAAATCTGAACTTCCGGTTCCGGTTCGGCACTCATGGCCTTCAGCACTTCTGGGCAGATATAGGCCCACATCTGACGAAGGTAACCGTCCCCTTTGATCTTGGCGCACTCCAAAAGAAACGGTAACGATTCTGCTGCGGCCGTCCGCACAAGGTCGTGGAAGTAAAATTTCAAGAGAGGGACCATGAGCTTGACGACTTGCTCTGTGTAAGGAGCAAATCCTTCTTTGAGTTCTCTAGCATAACAGACCAACATCTGACAAGCGGTACTCTTGTCTTCCAGGCCAGCGGTCTTGATACCGAACTTTTGCTGAGATCGCAAATCAAAAAAATCAAAAAATCAAGCAGTTTGTAGGAAGTGATTAAAGAGTGTACCTTCAAACAACTGTAGCTTCCATTTGTTCGTATCGAGTTTCTAAATCGCAACATGTTCACTTTTCTCCTTGATACTCTGGAGTCATACAACTTATTCGCTTCACACTCTGCCATACCATCATTTAAGCTCCTCGCGCAATTAAAAACGAATGTCTTGCATGAAACTGTACTCTAAAACGAAACATTACACTTGACTCGACAGGTGATACAATTTGTACCTGATCTCCAAGGGTAATAAACTGCCATCCTTCGTCTTCGGAATACTGGCCGCTCTTCGGATCATCAGCTAAAAAAAAAAAAAGAAAACCGAAGAAAACAAATCGTATACTATTCTCTCACTTGTGAGCAGAATCAAAACAACAAGGCGTTCAACGCAGAGAAGGTTAAGACAAATCACAAACCATCGATGACTGCCACTTCTGGCTTGATTGACGCGGCCTTCATCACAGAGGGCATCACCAGAGGAAGGTATTGAGTGAATTCTGTCCCAAAAATCTTGCACATCCTGGCCCAAGCAGAAATCATGTAGGAAATCTAACATCGCAGAGAAAAACAATCGATTACTGATGAAAACATCAACGAGACACTAACGTATTATTATCAATTTACTGTCAGTCAGTTCTTCCCGCTCAAGGTTACCTCGCTCCAAACTTTCGCTGTACTACGACTGTAATCAAGGTTTTGGAGATGAAAAGAGCTTTGTCTGCCTCGGCATTGGCGCCGGTTTGCAGCTCGTCGCGCAAATTTTGACTCGCTATTCTTCATCCAAGCTAGTAGTTTTATTTCACCATTGTTGACTCAGTGGCGCTATGGTATCGCGTTTTTTCAGATCAAAAGGCTGCGTGTTCGAGTCGCGTCGGGCTCAATATAGCTTTCTTATTTTTCTTCCTTGCTGTGATTCTGTGATATAATAACTTTCTCTATGCCCTGCAACACTCTCGAACCGGTATGGCAACTCTCCATTTTCAATCATACCCACCTGAGGATCGTCTGCCTCTAGTTCTTCCATCTCAGTTTGAGTTTTGAGCAACAACTGCATCACATCGTTAGCATCAGGCAAGAACTGAATAAGATAGAAAAGCAGTCTGGGATTTAACAGCTTGAACTTATACACTTAAAAAAATAGTGCGTGAGACAGACGTCTAATGGCCATCGCGCTAGACTCCCGGTCGAGAAGTCTGGGTTCGAGCGCTGATTGAGGTCGTTCTGTTGGGTTGTTGGACATAAAATTTTACTCGCACCATGCCTTTCTCTCTACCAGTAGTATAATTAGATAGCGGCCAGGGAAACCTGTGACGGACTGAAACCGAGATGCTGGTTTAACATTCTGCAAAAAAATCCTAAATTTAATACAACAGCGAATAAAAACATTTCTTGGAAAACTGCTGTCAACATTGAATGCACTCACCTTTTCCTTCCCAACAGCCAAACCAATCAAGCTGATGCATTCGATTGTTTTCCCCCGCAGCATGCGGTAATCAGATGACAGAGCATTCTGCATGATGTACTTGAGGTTTGGCATGAAGCGATCATAATAATGAAGGAATTTTTCTTCGGCGGTGTCCGCAACGGTGGCTATGGTGGTCACAACCTGCTCGAGAACTAGTTTTCCACCCCGTTCAAGCAGCTGTTAAATAACAAGGTATCGTAAAATTCATTTTACCGTAAATAAAAACTACACCTGCAACAGGCAGACATTTTTAATTTTAAGACGATTCTGCAATGACCACCCACAAGTACTTGAACAGACTCTTCGTGGCTTACAGAATATTTGTTTACCACAGGTAAACAGATAGGATACAACACTGAACCTACCTCCCTTAGCTTTGAAGCCAATACAGCTTCAAGTTTTGCCAAGATGTCATCAAGATAAGACGCTAGAATGCTTTTGGGGCAGTCGTCAGAGAAATTAACCAGCGCAGCCGCAGCGTGGGCCTGGACGCGAGGGTTGGCAGTATCGTCCAAAACAACTAAAAGGCCTGGGATCACCTACAAATATTCAATAATAAAACACTCTCATCAGAAATAAAAATTAAGGTAACCACCACCAAAATGTGCCCATGAACTTTCAATATTCATCAACCTATCACAGGCCTCAAAGCTAACTGCCTGCGCAGGAAAAAGCACTTACAATGTATCAAAAACAATCGCCAACAAAGCTGTTCTTCATTTCCCAATACACCTTACCCTTTCTCCCCTCCCTCCCCTCCCTCCCCTCCCTTGCCTCTCAACCTTTTACCAACACAGTTGCTGGAATTTATTTCCTTCATTAAAAAGGAGCAACACTGAATAAGAAGGACAGAGGGGAAGGGGAAACAATTTGATTTATGAAGTCAGCATAAATGTTGCATGTTGCTTGTAATACACATACACGGGAGCAAGAAAATTCAATTTGTCTCATTAGTTTTCGTCAATGATAGCAAATTCTAATAATGTTTTACCCTCTTGTGGAGTCTTGCCTTACAAGATAAGAACTTCCTTATTCATCACTAGAAATGCTTATTTTGCAAGACAACATCAGGCAAAAGGGAGACACTTTAATTTTGAATGATACTGTTACTTGGCTCTCCCTTTCCATTCCAGTGACTACAGAGAAGACACTTCTAAAAATCATTATTAGAATGTTAACTTACTCTTGTGTGGAATTTCTTTTGAAACCCAGGAGCAAAGTCAGTAGAAAGCTGCCCCACCGCATTACAGGCTGCATACCTCACCCGTGGATGAGCGTCACCCAAGAAAGGTAAAACAGTGTTCACAATATCTTGGAGTAGAGTCTCCATCTGTTTATAGCAACCTTCACCAACTGCAGAGATTGCCATTAGACCTGCATGGCGATACCTCCAGTCAGCTAAAAAAAGGAGCAAGGAATAATCAAGCAAAAAGTATAACTCTGAAATAATTATAAGATTAAAAACTTTGAACACAAATATGTTGTAATGAACTCACGATTCTGCAACATCTGTGGCACTGTGACAATGATGTGCGGTAAAACTGTTTTTCCACCCAATCCACATGCCAGTCGATCAAGAGAACTCTCTCCTGCTACAGAGTTACTATGAACAAATTGACAAAATACACACATTTTTTCACTCAAAAAAAAATTGCTCACATGTATGAATTGCAGAGATGACATACAAAATATTCAAAACTTAAATGAAACCAAGAGGTCCAGCCAAGCAGTCTCAAGCAAAGTTTCATCAATGATTACGCATCAATTTTGGTTAGTGTAAAAAACAATAATACACATACCAGCTATGCCAATCAGAATTAAAACTGTCCTGATATGATAGCCAAGTTAAAATTTACTAATTAGTATCATTCCAATAATAACACTCTGATTACAAGTAGCCACAACTAAAACTATTTTTCATTTAATCAGAAACTTAATTCCTGATACCAAACAATCACCTTTCAGAGTCATCGTCCTCAAGTTCATCAGACACACTCCATTCTGGGTCGTCTTCTAGATCAACCATCATTGCCAACATCTCTGGAACTGCAATATTATTAACTATTTTATCTCCCAGTTACTATTTCAGGGGTTTCATTAATGTTTTCAGTGGTGCGGCAACTGGTTATCACAGGCAGGCAAAAACTTTTTGAATTGAACTTCTTTATAAGATAAACTCTCCTCTATATCGTCAACCAAGTGGGCAAAACTGTCCTCACAATCACTCAATTTGCTTGGTGCCCGGCCTGTAATGAAACCCTGCTATTTATTACACTACTCGGGCAGTCAGAGGGCCAATAACTAAAATCAACCAATCAAAATGCTCTATTGCCCGTCCAATATTCTCTAAGTATTGGACTGGGCACTGTCCCGAATGGTCCCGAATGATACCGCACTTGTGTCCCTCTGAACTCCAGTCGTGTAATAAATCTCTTATTAACCAAGCTTGCTTGGGACCGTACTGGAAGAATATCGGCCCTCGCGCTTGGTTAATAAGATATATGTATTCAATGATTGGTCAGTTCAACTGTTCATATTTTACTGTAAGTTTGTTCTCACTGAAATCTTTCCACTCTATACAAATGACACCAATGTACAAATGATGCATTGGAAAAAGACAAAAATGTTGAAGCAACTAAGAAGACACCACAAAGAATTTTCACTTGACTAACCTATGATTGGAATATGCTTCTGGCATTTCCTGAGCATTGCTGGTGCTATAATGAAACACAATTTGGTGAAAATTAGGAAAAGCATTTCAAAAGGAATGTATGAGAAATACTAGTAAACATGTACAAGTACTTCTTAAAAGCTAAGCAATTCATAAAAAGGAAGTGCCTTGTTGAATGGCAAATTTACAGACCTGTCTCTGCCAAAGTGACTACACACTCCAAGGACAGATGTCTCCAACTTTCAAGAAGATTTGCATTGCGAACAATCTGTGAAAAACGGGTACAAGTCTTATTCAACACAACAACTGGTAAAGGATTCTGCAACAGATAACCAACCAGAAATCTAGTACTCTATCAAGCAACAAAATCGTGTCTCTTAGAGTTGGCAGATGTTTATTGAAAGACCTTAAAAAACTACTTACCTCCAACATCAAATCTAAAATGGACTCCAAGTTTGTCCTAAGTAGCTTAGGACAAGTGTCTGCTAAATCAATTAAACATTTTAGCACTGAGTCATCCACACTTGCGACAACACTCTCACGCACAGCCTGAGATAAACAAGAAAATATTGTGTGACCGAACATGTGTAAAGAAAATCATGTTTTTAAACTGTGGAAATTAAAGTCAATAAAGAAATTATCTTATGGTAGGTGTGAGGTTCAGTCTGTGCAGTACCAGGAAAGAAACCTGATAATAAAATTTGGGAAGTAAATAACACTCAAATGGGTCATAATGTATGATTCTAAGACCAACAACCTGTAAAGCCTCCAATGTTGCACACTGTATTTCTACGCAAGATGAATGTAAATCAATCAACCAGCCTAATCCCAAGTGCAATGGTTTTAAATTGTAGTAGATTGGAGCATCACAGTGGAATAAGCCATTTCTGCTACAACAAAATTAAAACTTGGCTTCGAGGCATGGGGGGGGAATAAAACAAAAGAAATCACTTTGAGGTCGAAGGACAACTAATTAATTTCTTTTGTTGTCCTCCCCCTAGCCTCGGAGCCATGTTAGAATTTTAATATAATTGATTAAAAATGGCCCATTGCATGGTCATAAGTTTGATGTCTCAAATTTTTTCATACCCTTGTTCTTCTGTTTAGATAGTAAGTTAAATTAACTGTTATTGACAAATTAAAAATATTTGTTGCAGCAGGACCTGATGATACAGGAACACTTAAAAAGAACTAAAAATTTAGTTTACTCTTCAAACTTGTCATTAAAGATTTGTTGTTTTCCTGCCAAGTTTGGCAAGTTAATTTTTTTAATGAACACTTCCCATTACCTGTACTATTCCTGGGACTAGATCCACAAACTGTCGCTGTTTAATTTCTTCCACTTGATCCGTGATAAATGCAACTGAAGCACGTGCTGACATAAAACGAACCTTTAATAACAAAAAAAAAAAAACAAAAAAAAAAAAATAATAATAATAAAGTTGTAGCGGTATAGTGTAACAAATCCGAATTATGAATTTATTACAGACGAATCGGAAGGGTTTTTATTCTCATTGGATTCTTTTGAGAGTTGATGTTGCTTTTCTTTAACAAAAATGTAAACACCAAGTTTTTAGTGTCCCATCTTAACCCATCCAAAAAAAATAAAAAAAAATGTAAACATGTATCAGACTCAAGATAATCAAGCAAGCAGACAAGTGATGGAAATAAAGAAAAAACAACAACAACAATTAGGGGATTATTAGTCAATCCAATAGCAATTCTCCAAAATAACATTATAAGGATTACATAGCAAACAGTTATGAGAATTACTAATGAGATCTTGGGGGAAAAAGATTAATGAAAACAAAATTGTTGTCCATGGATGAATAGTTGATCCAATAATAAATTCTCCGACCTAACGTCATTAGGATTGTATGGCAGACATTGAAGAGAATTACCAGAGATCTTGGGAGGGAAAGGGTTAACATAACATAACATCAACTTTATTTCAACACAATAAGTGTTTAAAGCTTTGTGCTTATGGGGTCGTGCATTTAAACTAGTACTAAAACTAATATCTATTACTAACTTACATACAAAATAAAAGCAAGATTACTAATAATTAATAATTATAAAAATTTGTACAATATATGTGATATAATCTGCATAAGATATCATTACAAATAAATATAGCCTTGATCACAAAAATTAACTGTTGAGGCAGATGTTACCATAAAATGAAAATCTTTAAATTCAATGATCTTACTTAATCTTGAATCTATGCTCTTTCGTGTAGCATGAACAATGTCTGCATTCCTAGACACAATTGTATTCCAAAGAACAGCCCCTCTATAAGTTACTGAACGTTCTAAATAGTGGGATTGAAATCTTGGTATAACAATATTATCTGACCCACTTAATGAATACTTCGCACCACTAGACCTCTTAACAATAATATTTTCGGACAGTTGTTCTAGTAGCAAATCATTGTATGCACCGTGTACTACCTTAAACAGTTTGGTCTTATAAATATAATCTAAGGAGTGCCATTAAGCTATCTTTAGAGAGTCATCATGGGAGGTGCCTTTCTTTAAATTATATATTAACTTTGCTGCTCGGCTGTGAAGTTTTTCAATCGCTCCAAATAACTCAAGATTACAACAGCTAATGAAAAACACAGTTGTTGTCCATGATATAGATGCAATTATGAAGCAGTGTGGTATTTACCTGTTGGCTGGATTGATCCTGCAGGCACTGCCACAGCATTTGTTTGATAACCTGCATGTAATGTTCTTGTTGCGTTCCAAATATTCCAGGGAAAGATCTGTTGTAAAAAGACAGAAAAAAAAAATTACTTAATGTAGTATCCTAACAAGAAAATGGGAAAACATTCTCCCAGTTAACAACCACATTGCTAAGTAGAAGTTGAGTGCCTGAAACATCCAGGAGCTTCTGCTATTGACAGCCAGCTCCTAGATGGAAACTTCTCCCATGGCTGGCAAATCCTGGCAACCCAGCCATGAGCCCCTACACAGGAAAGGGAAACAGGCACCCATCACACTGAATAAACAATGGAAATAGGGAGGGGGATGGATGGAGAAAACCTGCCTGGGAATGCTGCAAGTTTGTGCTCGAAGCAAACTACTAAGATTAGGAAGTGATGAATGGACAAAGCACTTACACAAAAATATGAAGAGCACATTCCTTAAGCTCTGGATGCTGGGAGTTGCAGCATTCAAACAGAAACTTCAAAAGTTCTTGCCAGTGATTATATCCTTCCTCATCTGAACAGAAAGATGATAAAATATCAAAATGTAGAATAAATGATGTAGTTGTATGATAAAGATAAAAACACTGACTGCAGGAACTTGTTGAGAGCCTACAAATATCATCTTATAAAACAAGGCAGCCTTACTTTAATGACTTAGAGCCACTGTACTCTGAAATTGTACACCAATGTGCAATCAACAATTGATGTTTAACAAGCCCGTTTCCACACAAAAAAATTTGAATGAATTACTACTTTCCTGTTAAAACAACAAGTTCATTCACAACTTACCAAGAAGACTTCTGGATAATTCAGCAACAGCATCACACACCTTCTTCTTTACTGTTTGTGCCTGTTCCTCATTTATGGCCTTGAGCAAATCATTCTTCATTTCTTGCTGAAAAGCTTGATCAAGTTTTTCATAAAAATCCACTGAGCTTGAGAAAATCCTTCGTAACAGTACAGCTGACATCTGACGTACCTTAGTAAATAAACATTTTGAGTACAATACTTAAACCCAAAAATGACTAGGTAGGTAAAGAGGAAAAACAATGCATTTTTCATGGATAAAAATATTGCACCAATTTCTACATAAATAAAAAACTTATCATAAACATCACTTTAAAACAAAACATATCTTTAATTATACCCTATTGGCTTCATTTCTTACCTCTGCAATGGCTGATGTCCTAATCATCTGAATAAGGAATTTAATCTTAGTGGGCTCATTGATGGTTTCGTAATGTGTCTGTTTGGAATAAAGACCGTGAAAAATGTTACTGAACAGTGGAATCTAAATGTTAAATGTAAAATAAAATATATACTACAAAGTAACTTTGCACTGATAATGATTAAGCAACCCAATTTTTTAAGACTACATTTACCAATCATTAACTACTATGTTGACAGAAACATTTCATGTTAAGTTGACAAAGGAGGGATTTTTTTTTTAATTTCTTTGGTTTCTTGTTATTTATTTTTTTGTCATTAGTAGTTTAGTCAAGTAGTCTGGTGGAAGTGTCAATTTGTGAACTAAGTATTGAGATTTTTTTTTTTTTTGGGCCATGTACATAAAATATTCAAGCAAATAAGATATTCAAAAAATAAATCATAAAAATAGATAACTAAATAGGGATTACATTGCCAATTTTTTTTAGGATCTTCAAAACTCAAAAGTTTGACAACTAAACAAGAATTTCCTGAGATATTTCAAGTGCACAAGAAATAATAATGTATGGATTTTCTCATTCCAAATGTGTTTTAGGACACTCTTGTACACAGGTAGGATCCTGCCTTTGGATTCTATTTTGTCTGTTTTTAATTTTCTTAAGTTCTGTTTTGCAAAATGTATCCAGCTAAGTATACAGTTCATTTCAATAAACAAAATAAGCACTAAAACTGATTAATTTTAGAGTGAGAATTAAAGAATTCTAACAAATAGAGAGTCAGGATTTTAGTATCATTTTACACAAAAGTCAATTAACTATCAGAAGTACTTGAAAAAAAACCCATACTGTTCTCACCTTTATTTTTAGCAGCTAATATAAACAAAATAAAATCATAACAGAAGATATGCAATCTCAGTCATGTTTGCTACACATGGGAAACTTTTTAAATTTCATTGTTAGTGTTAGATTGTTAATGAAAAAAAAAATGCTGACTGGAAAAAGACTTCCCCTGAAAATTTCATTACAGTTAACCATGGACTAACTTATCAGTAAATGGATTATCAATCACAGTTTACAGTGATGAAATATGCATTCAAGACATGACTGAGACATATATTTTTTAGCATTTACATGGAGCACTGGCTTATGTTATCACAGCTTGTTTTCACCCCCAGAGATCTATTTCTTACGGGCGTTAATATTGACAGTCGCGTAACATGGACAACGACGGCAAATAACTTTGCGACTTCAATTTTAGTCAGCTAGCTTTCGATACTACGAAAGCACACGGAATCTTAGCCAACTGCAATTCGTTCAGTTCACTTTTCTAAGCGGTGAAAAACTCATTGTATTCCTCGAAAGGTTCGCTAATAATTAACTTACAACCTAAAACGCATTTAATTTGTTCCTGACTGTCGTGGGAAATAAATAATCGTATCAATATGTATGTAACAAATAAATTCGAAGGTATACACTTTAATATCGACCTTTGTTTAAAGGAATACAAACTCAAGTACGATTTAAGAGGTTTAATATTACCGTAAATCGTTTCCAAACCGATCATAAATCACTGTATGACCTTGCGAAACCCGGAAGAATTCATTTTGTGCAAGATCAAGACTTCTATACGATATGCAGTAAGTGCTCGCGATGATAACATTGAAAACGTGGCTGAACATTTCAACAAAACAACCCGCTCTTTTGATTTGGAGGCTATAGTTAAAAGAAGGGGTTTTATGTAAGGTTTGTGTAAGGATAATGGCTGTAGAATTGTGAGGCAGCAAAGGAAAAAACAGGCAGGTTTTCCTATGCACATGGCTTTGAACTCCTGCCGACGATCAGCGGTTCTCGAAGACATTCCCGGCAAGAACCCAGACTGCAGTTATTCGCCTTTGTAATTCCACAAAAATAAATCATACAAGAAGAAGAGATATTTTCCTACCTCTGCCTGATTTCTGATGTTATTATCAGGAGACATCAGCTGTGTTACCAGAGATTCAAACTGCTGCTGCTCGTTCGCCATTACGGCCACCATATTGCCCAACCTATGAATTTTGCGCATGCGCCTAATCTTTCTTGAATGAACCATTTTGGCGGTGAAAGTATTGTTCAAATTTTGGCGCGATAATTTTTAACATTGATATAACCTGATTATTTACCGTGAAATCCAACAGTTTTGAGTTGAATTCTCAAAGGGGTATCGAGGCCCTGGACCATTAAGAGATCATGATATCACTACCCCTACAATGAAGAGTGAAGTCTGTCGCACGGGTCAAAAATCAGAGAAAAAAAATGCTGGACCCCTGCGCGGCCCTGACATGTTTTTTTCGCGGATTTTTTTTTTTAATCACGCGACGACCTTTGCTCGTAATCTATCTTTCCTGCCCCCAAACAAGCGAAGCCTTACACCCGATAACATCTCCTGTTTCTTTTGTGACTTATTCAACTTATTCGACTTATTCAACCGCCTCCCGGTTAGCTCAATGGATAGAGCGCTGGACTGTTGTGCGGGAGGTCGAGGGTTCGAGCCCCGGCCGGACCAACACTCAGGGTCTTAAAATAATTGAGAAGAATTTGCTGCCTTTCTATAACATCAAGAAATGGTTAGATATTCTAGTCTTCTCGGATAGGGACGAATAAATGGAGGTCCCGTCTCCTGCAGGGTTGGGGTAGGAGACGTTAATTTCCCACACACGAGATTACTGTGTGATGGATGTCCTCCCCTGGGGTGGGATGGGTGGGAGGGTGGACTAGCACGAATGGTTCCTATGTTCCTTTCTAGTCCTTCCCCACTGCAAAACTTAATGCACTGAAAATGGACTAAATTAAATTAAATTAAACTAATTTATTATCGCTATATTTCGCAGTGTACGCATAATTGAGGGGGGCTTTGGGATTTTCGGTTTTGCGGTTTTGACTGTTTTTTGGATAGGTTTTTCGGTTTTGGGGCCAAAAAGGTTCGGTTCTTCGGCTTTGATGTTCAGAGCGGTTTGCGGATTTCACGTGTTTTTTGCATTCGGTTTTCAAGGAAACTCTGATGCGGTTTTCGGTTTTTCCTTTTTGACCCCTTTAAAGGTGAAAATGTCGCGGTTTTGTCAGGTTTGCATGCGGTTTTCGGTTTTTCTGCCTTTTTCGACGCTTTTTAGGTTTTGGAGGTTTTTTTCTCCGGTTTTGCGGTTTCCCAGAGGCCCCAATGCCCCCCTCCATAATTCAGCTCAGAGATAGTGGTATGTAAAAAGAAAAGAGCACTAAACTACTTTATATTCAGGTTAACCAAGAGCCCCGAGCCTCTCTCCTGGCTGATGCCGCACTCCTTATAAATTGAAGTTGTCATAACTCACGTTCTGTCTTTCGTCTTGTTTTTCTTCGTAATGTTTATTACGACATAATACTGGCAGTACATACATACACACCTACATACATACATACATACATACATACATACATACATAAACTTTATTTCCATTCGGATTTATGAATAGCACTAGATGTGCTAGCATCTCCGAACATGTAACTACACAGCAAATGACAATAAGTTTAAAATAGAAAGACTCACATATAACCTCATGTAAAAATGCTAATAATTATATACTAATCCCCACTAGATGTATAACTCCTAATGGCACGTTTAAAAGCGGCTAGAGTGTCCGACATTCTTGTATTCATAATCATAATCATAATTCATAGTCCGGCAGTCTTGTATTCACAATCCAGGAAATGTTTCGTGGTCTCTATCCCTCAATCACTACCGATTACATACATACATACATCTATATATGTTAATTGACCACTCCCCATGGGGGCTTTTCAGGGACAATTCACACCCAGCAACCAACCCAGGGGAGGACATCCATCACACAGTAATCTCGTGCATGAGAAATTAGCGTCTCCTACCCCTAACCCTGCAGGAGACGGGACCTCCATTTATTCGTCCCTATCCGAGAAGACTAGAGTATCTAACCATTTCTTAATAGAAAGGTAGCATATTCCTCTCACTTGTTTTAAGACCTTGAGTATTGGTCCTGCCGGGGCTCGAACCCTCGACCTCCCGCACAACAGTCCAGCGTTCTATCCATTGCGCTAACTGGCAGACGGTATCACATAGTTCTCACTTTCACTAAATATAAATATTACGCCTTTCTTCTTCCTGATCGGGTCCTGAAAGATCGCGAAATTAAGGCCACACTCGGCGATTAGGCGACCGCAGACAGCCCAAGATAATCAGATTTAGTTATCGTACTGTTTTTTATCGTTCGTGTAAATTTATGCTCCAAGTCATTGCCTCTGCTCAGTCAAACTTGTTACTGAAGAATTTATTTTAATGTTTGTTTCCCTCCCGCCTCGATTAGCTTCTCTATTTTGCGGCTAGGGATTGTTAGATATGTATTTTGATTGCTAAAAATGACTGAATAAGTTTTTTCGTTGTGAGTCCAGTTGGATTATTTTCTCATATTGAACCTACCTCAGCCAGCTTGATAGGGCCTCATAAACACTAAGTATAAATGTTCTTTGGATAATTGTCTATCAGCTACTTAAAGGTCGGCACACACGAGGGGACTAGTCCCTGCGACTAGTCCCAGCGACCAGTTTCATGCGACTAGTCCTTTCGTGTGAACTACACATTTCTGTGGTCGCAGGGACCAAAATTTGGTCCCTGCGACTGGTCGCACGAATTCAAACTGGTTTGAATTTGTGAGACCAGTCGCAAGGACTTGTCGCACGAAACAAATGTTTGTCCCTTCGTGTGAACTGTTTGTGCGACCAGTCCTTGCGACTAAACGGTAAATAAGCCAATCACGGGCCAGTATGATGCGTGACTTCCGGTATTTGTAAACATTGCAGTTTTTATGAATTTTCCCTGAATTCTAGATTTCCACAACTGAAGAATAAAAAACTATTTCTAGTTTTGTAAACATAGACAGATGTCTTGGAGCCATTTTGATGGAATTTTTACCCTATTTGACTCTGTGTCTGTTAAAAATAAAAAAAAAACAAAAACGGAACATGTAAAAGCATGAATAATCCGACTGAATAAGTGTAGTTCATTTGCGTTGATGTTTAATAGTGCTACAATGAAAAGTTACCAAATTTTCATTGTTTTCGTGTAACGTCCCAGACTAAGAAACATCTTTTGCCTCTTAATTTTCCTATGTTCTTGTGCAATTGAGTGCCCTCGTGTGAACGTCTTAAGGGACTAGTCCCTGCTACAGGTCCCACCGTGTAAACCCTTCAAAGACTTGTCCCTGGGACTAGTCGCACGGACTAGTCGCAGGGACTAGTTCCCCTCCTGTGTGTCAACCTTAATTATTTAATTCCAACGATCAGGACTTTCCCACACAGTGGCACAAAATGATTAAAAAACATCTTCAAAGTGGGTAAATTAGCTTTGCGTATCAGTGTGGAGCGAAAAAATTTTGAAAAAGGAACTTTGTGAAAACGGTGGCGTTCCTGCTCTTAACCTGTTCGAAGCGTCCACTAGGTAAGCGGGGAGAGTTAAAAAACGAGGGAGGCTTGGGCCGACCCGACCCGAGCCTCTTCTGAACGCCCAGAACAGGCTAGCCCGGCGTGGTCGCCCTTTTTCCTTTTTGAGAGGAGCACTATTACACGCCTACAATGCGCATTCATCAGGAAAAATTAAAACATTTCTGCCTCCGATGATCGTTGCTAACGAGTACGGAAAAAAATAGTCCTTTACCAAGCTTACCCAGTGGGAAACTGTCGTTGCGTTTTCAGATAATTTGAAATTAAAGTGCAAATGTTTTGCCAGTCAGAAAAATCAGGTCACTATTCACAGTGTTTCCTCCTGGCTTGCTCCTGTCGATTCTGTGGAGTTAGTTTTTTTTCGTCTTCTTCTTCTCAAAATGCGATATCTGATTAAAATTGTCGTCACGGCTTCAGCATATTTTGGTACTCTCCAAGCGTACAAAAACGGGTCCAGAAAAGCGTTGACGAATACAAATCTAAATGCGATTTGAACAGACCTTACTAGTTCGTTTGTACCTTTACAGACTGAACATAAATTTCTTATGTTTATTGTGACAGTATAAGGCACAAAGGCCAAATAAAATAAAAATAAAATGGTGACAAATGCCATAGTGGTCTTCTTCTCACTTTGAGCTTTTCTTAATGCGCTTCGTTCGACGCTGCAACCTAGGCACGCAATTCGGCGCCTCGCATGCTGTCCCAATAACCTAAAAGTTCTCCAGTACAACAATGGCAGCAGGAGAAGAGGAGCAGTAACGTGTAAATTGCAGTACAACAATTCGTAAATCCATCGAGGTATCCCTGGACAAAAGAAGAGACTCGTGAAAACGACGGCGTAAATCCAGATGGCGACTATAAGAGCTTTGACACGTTTAGCTGTGACAATTGATCGATAGTGAAGCGCTGAACGCACAGCCAGCCATCGATCACACGCCATTGCTACAACATTACAACAAGCTACAACGAGACTGCTGATGATGATAGCCAAGGTTACAAAGAAAAAATTGTTGACACTCTCTTCTGACATGCCGGAGAGCCGAATTGAGTCGTAAACCATCATCTGCTATGCACAGAAAAATCCAGTGAGAAAATCTGCCGATGCCATGTTCATCACCAGGTATGAGCTTGGGGAGCGTCGCAGATTTCGATTAGGATCTTTGGTGATAGTAAACAGTAACAGAAACTTTGCAACGCTGGCTATTGTTCCCGATATGAAGTCAAATATAATAAACGAGAGACGAAACACATCGAGGCGAGAAACGGGCGGAATCACGTTGGAATCATGACCTGGAGTTATTGATGAGTTCATCTTGGTGTTAACAGACGGCTTGCTGAGAGAAAGTTTAAGAAACTCTCCCACATTCGTGAGATACAGCGTAATTAAACGAGCTTGAGTTAGATATTAGCAAATTTGCGTCGTCATGAAATTGGCTCATTGTTCACCATTTGTCATGATAAAGGACCAGGTGTAAATGTAAAGGACCGATGTTAATGCAATTAGTGTTTGTTTTATGTCAGTACCATCAAACTAAATCGGGTGTTACCTTAACTTGATGTAA